GGCTCTGCTTGAGGGAACTTTACATCTGTTCTATGGCTTGGACCTCCTCCTTGGGGCAAATATATCTTTATCTCTGGCCCCTATATCTCAACTGAGTTTATAACCCATATTTCCAATTGCTCTTAGATATGTTTTCTTGGATCTCTCAACGATTTTTAAAATTCAGAAAGTCCTAAAATACTCTTTCTCCAAGTTAGTCTCTGCAACCCCCTCCACAATCTACCCCACGACATAAGGTAGTCAATATTTCCACTATCCCTAAAATAAATAAACAAGAAAACCCTCTAAATTGCCCTCCAGTCCCAGTCTCACTTGAGTCAGGAACAGGGATTCTTAGATTCTACCTCAAAACACCTCATCTTCTCTCTCACCACCGCTCCCGCCTTGTCAGCTTCTCACCATCTCTTACCTGGATGACAGCCACAGTCGCTTCGCTAACTTCCTCCCTGTAGTCCATGCTTCACACAACAGCCAGAGCTGTTTTTCTAAAAACAGGCTTGAAGAGAGCACGCCTCTGCTTTAAAATCTCTCTGGTGCAGCCACAGGACACAAACTCAACCTTGTGGGCTAGGCTTCTCGGTCTGGCCCCAACACCCCTTTGTCCAGTCTCGTCTCCAGCCATCTGGGTACGGCGGGCTTTTGCCCATTCGCTTTATCCTGGATCCCGAAGAGCCCCACTGGCACAGCAGCACCCAGCTCCGGAGACGCCCCCACTCACTCACCAGGGCGCCACTCCCTCCCGCTTCTGTCCCGGACACCTGACACATGACATCTTTTGCCGTGGTTGTTTGTATACATACCGCCTCCTCGACCAGAAAGGGACCTTGAAGCCAAGGATGGAACTGCCTTTCCCTTTATATTTCCTGCCCAAGCTAAGTGTCTGGCCAGCTCGGAGTGAGGCCTTGGCGGTTTTTACTTCATTTAATCAAGAATAATAAAATACTTATAAGTATCAGGCTGAAGCCCAGAAGAATTGGTGCACTTCATAGAATAAAAGTAAAATATGAAGGATAAAAATAATGGAAGCAGATGAGGAAAAGGAAGAGAGGATGCCAAAATAGGGAGAAGCTGAGTTTCCTTATATGGGATGAAAGCTCTAGTGTTTGCTTTGATGATAGTAAATAAATATAGGAACAAATGTTAGTTTTCAGCACTAAAAGAACTGTTCACCTTTAAATTTTGTCTTAAAGTTGAAAAGAAGAAAAGGACACTCCATAAAACAGAAGGCATAACAGCAAAGAGACAACTAAGTAATATAAAAATTAAACAACAAATTATATGTAGAAAACATAACAAATGCCAAAGCAACCACAAATTAAAGAGCTAAATTCATCCATAAGTTATAGAATCTTTAAGACTGGATGAACAGAAGACAAAATCCAACAATATTCTACTTATAAAGCTCAGAAATAACAATAATGAAATTAGAAAATGCAACCACATTTTCACTGCACAAGAAATTTATAGACTTTAAAAAAGAAAAAAAGAAAAGAAAACTTAAAAAAAAAGAATCGAAGATAAATACTGCTTTAAGCATTGTCAAAAAAAAAAAAAACAACTAAAAATGAAACTAATAATCTTGAGAAACAAACAACCCCAAAAGCCTGATTCTTAAAAAGAATTAGAAATTTTAAAAGCAAAAAGATACTTTGGAAGGACCCATAATAAACTGGTAAGAAATGCTACCTATAAATAGGGAACTTAATGCTTGAGGATCTGGAGTGAGGAGGAAACTGACTTTTCACTATCTCATTTTGCATTTATTTATTTATTTATTTATTTATTTATTTATTGGCCACTCCATGAAACTTGTGGGATCTTAGTTCCCTGACCAGGGATTGAATCCAGGCTCACAGTGAAATCTCAAGAGTCCTCACCATTTGACTGCCATGGAACTCCTGCATTTTGTACTTCAGATATAAAACTAAAGTTTTATAAGTTTTATATTTCAGCAAAAATTTCTCTGAAGAGACTAAAAGTGATACTACTAGTAAAGTTAATTACAAAAAGAGGAAATGCATGAAACTATAAACATAGGACACAAAAGCAGCAATAAAATTGTAGGGAAATACTAGGTGCATGTTAATAAATTTGGATAAAACTAAACAGGTGGATTTTTCATTAAAAATGTAAAATGCTAAATACCTATAAAATACTTAACTTGGCCAACATCTTTAAAAATAACTATACCCCCACCCCTAAAACAACTAGTGCCTAATGGTTTATTAGTGGATCACTTCAAATTCTCAAGAAACAAACACAACACATTACAGAGATCATGCCTAACAAAAGTCAAGATGTAGATTACCTAGTTCATTCTACTAACTGTATTCTAAAACTGGTTAAAGAAAAATGAAAAGAGAAAACTAGATGAAGTTTACTTAAAATTTATGCTCAAAAATTTAAAAGAAAATAACAATAAGTAGGACTAGGTTAAATTGTGTCATGTCATCTGATACCAAAAATTAATTTGTTAAATTCCAACAGATATTCTTAATTTTAAAATCCTAAAACTAATAACAAAGATATACTTTCTTACCCTTTTTGGGGTATCTATAAAAACAAACGTCAACAGTACACTTCAAGGAAAAAATGAGACATGCAGTCAGTAAAAACAGGCACAAACTGAAGCAGCATTTTATCATCACTGCTATTTAATACAGACTCATAAGTTCTTTCCAATAAAAAGCAACATAAGAAAATACAAATATAATAAAGGCCCATGCAAAATTTTTTAAATAAATAACATCACTGTAACTTACAAACCCAAAGGAATTACTTAAATGGTTACGATGAGCTTAAAGTGACCAAAGTCATCATTGATACAGAAAACCAATACTATTTCTAGTCCTCAAACTTGACCATAGTGAAAATCACCCCAGACAGCTTTTTAAAATGCCAATGCCTACAACTCACCCCAGACAAACTGCCTCAGCATCTCTGGGGGTGGGACCGAACACTTGTAATTTATAATGCTTCTAAGGCAATTCTAATGTACTGCTAACTCGAGATACCACTACATTATATATAATTACCTAAATACGTAAGAAATGCAATGCAAAACCATCTGTGATATTCTCAAATGGGAAGGGAAAGACTGCGGTAATGCAACAGGAGTGCCAAAGAAGAAGTCTGAAAGGGGATGCAGTTAGCTGTAGGGCCAGTGTTTCCAGTCCACTGCAGTTCAGGCAAAGAGGCAGGCAGCTGCCAGAGTGAGTAGAGGGGGACAGGACCCACGGAACAGTGGCAACAACAGCTAATTAGTCTCAGTCCAGATGCTACTGAGATCAGAAGCACGCATGAAGATTTAACAGAGGCTGAGGAGGTACAAGATTGCTTGCATATCTGTGAGATAAATTCCTGTGAGATAAATTCCTAGAAATGCAATTGCTGAGTCAAATGGTATGTGTCTTTAGAAGTGAAAGATCAGCTTTAAAAGATCTTAAAGGTGAACTGAAACAAACAAGATGTACAGAATCAACAAGACACCACACCTGACAGAACGAGTGGAGTGAGAGAAAGAAGAGGTAAGCTGGAGCTGGGCGAGATGGCTCAGGGCGGTCAGGGAGCAGGTACAGAAACGGCATCACAGAAAATTCCTGGTCATTCCATCTGGCTCTGCCCTTTGCATTCACTTTACCCCCCACCCCCACCGCCTGTCCCCCCACCAGCAGAAACCTGAAGGAGAAGGCGGGCAGGAGCCATGTGGCTGTCCAGGAGGAGAAGATTCCAGACTGACTGGAGAACCGTAAAGAGATCAGTGTAACTGACGCAGAGTCGGTGTGAAAGTGAGCACTAGAAAATGTGTGCATGAGTTCATTCGTGATAAACTCAGCTTGGGGACTGGCCTGGCAGGCAGTCCGGTTGTTAGGACACAGCGTTCTCACTGCTATAGACACAGGTTTGATCCCTGGCTGGGGGACTAAGTTCCCACCAGCTGTGTAGTCTGACCAAACAAACCAACCTGCCGTACGCCACTTTCAGCTTAGAGGACTGATATACAAAGGCCACTGAACAGTTCTTACTCCACCTTGCAACTCAAAATTAAAGAATGAGAAAACAGGACTGTATCTTCTAGCCAGCAGCAGCCTGGCCACAATCCACCATGAGGCAGGAAGTTCCACAAGTAACAACTGTGGGGAAATTCCCATGGGCTGGGCAGCCCAGGCTGGTGGAGACGCAGCGACGCTCTCATGGGTTGTCCAAGCCCGGCTCCTGCGCACGGAGCCTCCATTACATACCAGTGATAACTCTGACTCCATTTCTTCTGCTTTCTTTCCAAAACACTCTCATCAGCAAACTGAAGAAAGGTTCTTTATAATCATAAATAATGTAAGAAATTTCCTTTACTTAAAAAAGTTTAACAACAAAAATCCTCAATATCTAATAAGCTTGTGAGAGGCATGGTAACAATAAAATGAGTTCCCAACTCATACACGCAAACACACATATACATATAACTTTACTAGGGGACATCTATTTCATCAAGAGAAAGCTATGGTATTTACATTAATTATTTGCCAGTCTGCTTTGTCTTTAGTATTAAGTTTCCTATTGCAGAGGGCAGTGCCAAGAACATGGCTTGGATAACTTGGTATTAAAACCAGTGTTTTTCAAATCAGTCATTTAATAAAGCAAGTATAAGTTTTGCACTCACACCGAAAAGCCGACCTTGAACTAAACCTGTATATTACAAGAGACACAGCACACAACTCTACTTTTATAATACCCAATGGTCAACCTAAGATAGAATAGAACAGGCTCCTATCAGGTGACCTATGAAATCACCTCAACTGTATATTCAATACACATTTTTTAGATTAATCAAAAAAAGAATCATTTGATCAAAGAGCTCAGCAACAAAAGTCAAGGAAGGAGAAAAAAAATGTTTAGCAGCAATAAATATGGCTATAAAGACTTAGGCATGACAAATTGATGGTAACTGATATAAGGCAAGAAACTTAACATTCAGAATTATACTATTTACCCAGGAAACATACCTTTTCCTCACTTCATTGGTTTCTCCAATTTCTCTCTTCTCTTTGCGCAGCCCCGCATGCATCTTTAAAGGTTCAGTTGTTATTGCCTCTGCAGTTGCAGTCCAGTCCTGCAAAAGAAGTGGCACAGCTTCACTTCACGCAAATAGAGATAAAGTGGATTCTAGGAAACTGAGTGACCCAATCTCATCCATCTCCAGAACTATACACAAACAGAAACACCAAGGGGGTGGGGAGAATTAAAACAGGTCATTAAAGTACAAATCAGCAACTGAAAATGATTTAAAATGCTAGTAGTGACTGAAAAAATATTAATGGAAAAAAGCCAAACTTGTCTCTGATAACAGATCAGAACAAGATGATTCATTAACATCTCTTTCCACCAATGAGTTTCCATCTCTCTGTCCTAGCTAAGTATGAGATGGCTTAGCAGAAATGATAAAATTAACTGAGGTGTGGCCTTACAGCTTCAAGGATGCATACCATTCAGTTCAGTTCAGTTCAGTCGCTCAGTTGTGTCCAACTCTTTGTGACCCCATGAATCGCATTAAGGATGTGCTACTTCCTGATGCTCTTTCAGTCAAAGCCTGGGTTTTTCTATAGGGATTCTAGAGGCATAAAAATGGTCTAGATTCTGAGTTCCAGGCTAAGGAGCTCTGTGACCTTCCTCTTTGACCCTTATCCCTAGGTCATCCCATTCTACCCAGTGGCAATGATGTGCACACAGCAATTCCTGGCAAATGAATGAGACAGTCACTATGTTTTCAACAAACAACCAGAAAGGCTTCACATGATCTTAAGATTATTTGGGAAATGGCTGAAAAACCACTGCTTTTGAGTTCTTTATTTCCGTCCCAAAGCATTCTCTTTGGGTGAGACGCCCAGTAAAATGGCCCTAAAGTGAGTGTACCAGAGGGTCTCAGAGCTTTGAACGGTGCCTGGGTACACAAGAGGGGGTTGGGACCATGGGTATCTGAATGGAAACAAGGTACCCCCTCAGGAAAGCACCCCAGCCAGAGGAGCTCCGAGTGATCGTTTCTCAAGCTTTTACTCTGTCAGGCACTGTGCTAAGAGCTTTAACCACATTAACTCACTCGATCTTTTATAAAGACCCGATGAGGTGGATTCTATCATTCTAACTGCCCAGATGAGGAGACTAAGGCACAGAAAGGTTAAGAAAACTGTGCAAGGAAATGCACTCTTGCAGGAAGCTGTCGCCTCCTCCACCCATTTCACTTTCTTTCATTGCTCTTACGGTATCGTAGTAGCTCAATGGCTAAACTAGCTCTTGCTGGGAAACTGTCCTAATGAATAATTTATTAAAAACTTTACAGTCTCCACAAATGAAAAAACCTGACCTTCTCTTAATTTAAAAAATTATCCAGGGAACATCTCACAAATTAACTCTCCCTAGTTTTGTGGAAAGCAGAAGCAATCAGGATTTTCAGCTGAGTACTTAACATTCAGCCATGACTTCAGCTTGTTACACTTATTCCAGATATTCTGCCCTGCTTACCAGATCCCTTCTAACTTTAAAATTTCAAATCCCTCACTCAAACAAGGAATTTATTCTTCTGCTGTCTGGTTGAATTGATTGGGACCTAAAGGTAGTGCTGCCAAAAGCTGTGGGTTCAATTCACGACAAACCAGTTCGCTTTGTTTGCCTCACGTCTACAAACCCTTAGCCTGGATGGCACATTTTGGGTCATAAGAGAAACGAGGTGGGAGCGTGCAAGACCACTAGCATAAATAACATCTGCTAGAGGAACAAGCCCACGTCCAATACAGGGGCAGCAGCAGGACTCTGAGGCAGAACCAGCAACTCGATTCACAAAGAAAAACTTCATGATCATGGCAGAGCACCTCTACCTTTCTAGTTCAGATGCTCTTCCCAAGCTCAGATCTTTTGCCAGACTCTAACCTAAAGTCCCTCCTTCAAAAAACAAAACAGGTATAGGAATCAAATAAGAAACTAAGGTTTTTAATTTTTTCACAACATGTGCTCCATCTGAAAACAGAAATTTCTTATTCCTGACATCAATTCCATGACCAAAAAAGCACTTGTGAAGCTTTTCGAAAGTGCCATAAAAATCTCTAGCAGTGCAACATAGCAAACTATCAGAAAAATCTTACTGCCCTCCCATAGGTTTATCTTACTTTCTTTAAAAATCACTCCTAATTTTCATAAAACCAAAATCTGCCTCATCTCCAAATAATATGAAGTTACCTTAAACATGCTTTTTCAAGTTAATAAATGAAGAAACCAATTCTGATCAGTCCAGATCACACTTTAAAACAACCAAGGGTCCTCTCAAGGTAGAAGTTTTACCAGCATCCACAAGTTAAAGAGAAAAAACACAACTCTATTCCTTTATCGGTATTCTAGGAGGACACCCACTTGGGATCATCTGTCTTCCAGTTTTCTTGCCCACACCTGGCAAGAACTTTCCCGACATGCCAACGCGACGAAGCACATGGGATTCCAACAGTTACGAGGTAACTATGACAGCAAAGCCACAGTTACTTGTGAGATCACAAAAACTAGATGATGTAATTTTTTTAAATTAGAGGTAAAACTCACATAACATAAAATTAACCATGTTGAGGTGTACAGTTCAATGGCATCTAGTATATTTACTATGTTGTACATCCATCACCTTTATCTAGTTCCAAAAGATTTTAGTTATCTATCCCCAAATGAAATCTGAATTCATTAAGCAGTTGCTACCATTATCCCGGGAGAAATATCAATAACCTCAGATATGCAGATAACACCACCCTTATGGCAGAAAGTGAAGAGGAACTAAAAAGCCTCTTGATGAAAGTGAAAGAGGAGAGTGAAAAAGTTGGCTTAAACCTCAACATTCAGAAAACTAAGATCATGGCATCTGGTCCCATCACCTCATGGGAAATAGATGGGGAGACAGTGGAAACAGTGTAAGACTTTATTTTTTTGGGCTCCAAAATCACTGCAGATGGTGACCGCAGCCATGAAATTAAAAGACACTTCCTCCTTGGAAAGAAAGTTATGACCAACCTAGATGGCATATTAAAAAGCAGAGACATTACTTTGCCAACAAAGGTCCGTCTAAGTCAAGGCCATGGTTTTTCCAGTGGTCATGTATGGATGTGAGAGTTGGACTATAAAGAAAGCTGAGTGCCAAAGAATTGATGCTTTTGAACTGTGGTGTTGGAGAAGACTCTTGAGAGTTCCTTGGACTGCAAGGAGATCCAACCAGTCCATCCTAAAGGAGATCAGTCCTGGGTGTTCACTGGAAGGACTGATGCTGAAGCTGAAACTCCAATACTTTGGCCACCTGATGCGAAGAGCTGACCCGTTGGAAAAGACCCTGATGTTGGGAAAGATCGAGGGCAGGAGGAGAAGGGGACGACAGAGGATGAGACGGCAGGATGGCATCACCGACTCGATGGGCATGAGTTTGAGTAAACTCCGGGAGTTGGTGATGGACAGGGAGGCCTGGCGTGCTGCGATTCATGGGGTCGCAAAGAGTCGGACACGACTGAGCGACTGAACTGAACTGAACCATTATCCCTGTTCCAGCCTGGCAACCATTAATATCCTTTCCGCTTTGATGAATTTATCTATTATGGATATTTTATACAAATGGAATCACACACTATGCAACCTTTTGCATCTGCCTTCTTTCACCTGACATCCTGTTTTGAGGTGCTTCCACACTGTAGCATGCATCAGTACTTTCTTTTTATGGCTGAAATATATTCCATTGTATGGATATATCACATTTCATTCATCTATTCATCCACTGATGGACATTTGGGTTGTTTCTGTCTTTTGGCTACTGATTGGCTAGCGATTGGTGCCACTGTGAACATCTGGGTACAAGTACTTGTCTGAACACCTGTCTTCAATCATCTAGGGTATATACTTAGAAGTAGAACTGCTGGGTCATATGTTGTCTATATTTAACTTTTTCAGGAACTGCCAAACTGTTTTCCATGGTGGCTACACCGTTTTATATTCTCAACAGAAAAGCACGAGGGTTCCAACATCCTCATCAACACTTCATATTTTCTGTTCAGTGTGTTTTTAAATTATAGCCACCCTTGTGGATGTGAAGTAGTATCTCACGGTGGTTTTGATTTGCATTTCCCTAATGACCAATGATGTTGAACATCTTTTCACATGATTGCTGGCCATCTGTATACCATCTTTGGATAAATGTTCAACCAAGTCTTTTTTCCATATTTTAATCGGATTATCTTTTTGTTGCTGAGTTGTTAGAGTTTTTGTTTTTTTTTTTAACATATATTGGATACTAGGCCCCTCTCACGGAGAAGGCAATGGCACCCCACTCCAGTACTCTTGCCTGGAAAATCCCATGGATGGAGGAGCCTGGTAGGCTGCAGTTCATGGGGTCGCTAAGAGTCAGACACAACTGAGCGACTTCACTTTCACTTTTCACTTTCATGCATTGGAGAAGGAAAGGCAACCCACTCCAGTGTCCTTGCCTGGAGAATCCCAGGGAGAGGGGAGCCTGGTGGGCTGCTGTCTATGGGGTCGCACAGAGTGAGACATGACTGAAGTGACTTAGCAGCAGCAGGCCCTTCTCAGATTTGCATATTTTCTCCTATTCTGTACACTGTCTTTCCACTTTCTTAATAATGTCCTTTGATGCACAAAAGCTGTAAATTTTGGTGAAGTCCAACATATCCATTTTTTCTTCTTTTGTTGCTCACACCGTTAAGTCATTTCTAAGAATCCATTACCAAATTCAAGGTCATGAAAATTCACCCTTATGGTTTTCCTAAGTGTTTTGGCTCTTCCAATTAGGTCTTTGATTCATTTTGAGTGAATTTTAATATATGGCATGAGGTTGGAATCTAACTGCATTCTTTTCACGTGGATATCCAGTTGTCCTGGCACCATTTGTTGAAGAGACAGTCCTTTCCCTCATTGAATGGACTTGGTACCTTGGTCAAAAAACAATTGACTATAGATACATGGGTTTATCTCTGGACTTTTAAATTCCATTCCATTGATCTATTTTGTCCATCCTTATGTCAGTACCACATTGTTTTAATGACTGTAGCTTTTTTAAATTAAAAAGTGGATTTAGAGAGATATACA